GGGGGGGGGGAGGGTAAGGGGGGAAATTTTTTTTATATATATATATATATACATATATATATATCAAGTTTTAAATTATTGATAGTTCGTCTGGATTACCAAAATCACTCTGCAGCCCTGCCCGCGGCTGGTAGGCCGCAACCCTGGTCCCCATCCACAGCTGCATCCTGCTCCCCCGCCAGCCAACTATGCAGCCCACAGAAAGGCCCTGTGGGCCCCATTGCCCAGCACTGTTTCACAGAAGGCTCTGGCAGCGTCCCTGGGCCCCACGAGCACCAGCCCCTTGATCATCTGGGGCTTGCCATCACCTTGTTCTCTCCCTGCTGTCCCTGCCACGCCCTCCTGCCATCTTCCGGGAGAAGGAAACCAAAGGATCTAGAAGTGGGGGTGGGGAAGGTTTCAGCCTCTCTCCACTCCCCTCCCCCCATGCCCCTTACTCCCCAGCCCAGAGAGACGCTGCTCGTACCAGAAGAGACTATTGAAAGATGATTTATTTTATTTTTCTCTGACCTTTCCATCCTTGGGAAAATGGAAAAGAAAAAAAAAAAAAAAAAAAAAAAAAGACAAAATCGACCATAAAAGACCAAAAAAACCCATCAGAAAACCCCCACCTAATCCACAGAAAGTGATGTCTTTCCCCTACCCTTGGAATTTTCTTGTTCTGTTCTTGGAAATAGTATTTTTTTAAAAGTTGCCTTATTGTGGAGTGGGAATCTGAAATACCCAAATGCCTGTTTTCCTCGGTGGAGTCAACTCGAAGAGCTCCCACCTTCTCTGGATGTGCCTGGGCTGGATTGACGAGAATCTGTCTCTGGATTGAGTTGCATGTACAGTGCCTCCTGCCTGTAGGCAAGAGAGTTGGGGGCGGCTCGGATCAGAGCCGTGCCCAGAATATCTCCGCTGTTGCATCATTTGAAGCTGACGTCCCGTGTCTGTACACTGCTGCCACTGTCGTGTCCTTGCTCTGCTTGCTGTTGCCTCACGCCAGGGCCCGTCCTGCCGTGACACCCTTCATCCTACCCTTGGAACGCCAAGGCCAAGTTTGCTTCAGACTGTTGGAGGACAGCGTTGGCCTGGATCTGGGACACACTTGTCCTCAGCTTGACTGTCTCCCCCACCTCAGAGGGGAAAGGTGAACACTTGGCAGCTGAGGCTTGGGAACCTTTCTTGCGCTCCCTTGATAGATCTCTGAGACCTCAAGGAGGCTTCGTCTCTTAAAAGGTGGAGAGAGACGCCATTCTTCTCCCTTGGGCCGGGTGGGTATCCCCATCTCGCGCCGCCCCGCCCCCCCCCGCAAGCCATCTCTGTCCACCCTCCAGTTGACCCCGCCTGGGAACGACAGATTGAGGAGGCTTTGAGGGTGGGGGGGGGTCCTGCCAGTTGGAGAAGCCCTGTGGCAGGAAGGTATATGTGGACATAGAGTATACCTGACTTCTCCGGCCACTGACTGCTTGACTTGGGCTGTGAATGACAGTGGAATGGCTGGAGTCTCCTGGCATCCAAAGCTAGGGAGGGTGACCCAGAACTGACCCTCACAAATGGGGCTGGGTGCGGGTGTGCCAACACGCTCACCACAGGGTGGTGGCGGTCATGTGCTCACGCCTCTTGGCCCTTGTCAACTGCTTCCTCTGTCGGGCCCTAAAGTTGGGAGTCGGAGACAGTATCTCAGGCTGGCTAGGGCTTGCCCTATGTCTTGGGCACCTCACTGCTTTGGCCTGTGCCCTCCCCCATCTCTGCCCTCCCAGCAGTTAGTATGGGGAAGCCCATCTTAGTTCCTGTGAGCCGGTTGTCTCGAAAGCCAAGGATGAGTGTCTGGTCTCTGCTCTGACAGTGGGGTTTGAGGCCTCTCCCTGCCCAATCTGGCGCCTGCCCCACAATGTGCCAGACACTGGACGCCCTCCTCCTCCCCTTCATTGCCTCTTTCTTTCCTTTGGGTTGCTCGGCCCTGTACTGTATCCAGCACCACAGAAACCTCAGTGTTTGTCCTCTGCTGGGTTTGGGGGCCAAGGAAGCCTTGGGAGTGTGCGGAAAGGCTGTTCTTATCTAGCGTTTACTCCCAGGCCAGGGGGCTGCCATCCTCTCCCTGATCCTCCCCACAGACACCCCACAAAGAGGAAGCCCCTTTTGGGTGGGGAGGTGAGGACGTCATCTCAACACAGGCTGGGGTTGGGGGGGCTTTTTTCTTCCTTTTTTTCTTTACTTTTTTTTTTTTTTTTTTTTTTTTTAA